ATGTCACATAATCATAACCATTTTGAGATGATAGAGAATAAGGGATGTCAACGCTCTATCTTAACCAAATAAGCAACAACGACCCTTGGTTTCATTAGGAAACACTCTGCAAAAAATCACCTGCTTATTACTCTTGATCGTTTATCCACGTTTGCATTTATTTATTTTATTTCTTTATTAATAATTGGAAAATTAGACGAGGCTTTTATATTTCTCGCTATTATGAGAAGAGCCCTTTCAACAGTCTCACATTCAGTTCCATTTCTATTTGTAAAGCTTCAGCAACTTTAATTGCTTCTAATTCAATGAATTCTTCGCATCATAATTCATTATTAGAGTCAGTGATTTGGCGGATATAATATTCATGCCCCTTTGCACGTGCAGCACCCTTCAAAGTTGGATTCAGTGTTGATGTTGCGAGACCAAGATCATATCCTGCATCTATTAAGTTTTGTCCACTTTGTATGTTTTTATAATTTTCATTTCCATCTCTGGATCAACTCTTGTGCGTTCACACATGGGTTCAGGATATTCTTTTACTCTCCTTATTGTAGTCGTGATTGTACTCTTCCACAGCATACGGAAACACTAAAAGTTATTAAACAGTACGTATACAGTCATACGACGTGTCCACGTTCAGCGGTGAACAAAACGAGACTTAGGAAGGCACACTGAATGGACCGTGTGATCTGTCTGCTTCGCGAAAGATCACAACAAGTAACGGAGGCTCGTGAGGTCAAATTTTTGAACTCAGAATTTTGTCTAGGTCCTTTCAACAGAGTTTGCGTGAGTTCCAACTTAGGTAAGTCAGGATCTGCCTGAACTAACCGAAAACCTTGAAGATATGACAGCTTGTGGCAATTTCGTACTGGCACTGACTCCTACACTTGGGGTTTCCGGATTTCCGACGAGCCTTCAAAAATTTTAAGTCAGAGAAACGGTATACCGCTGGCAAAAAGTTTTAAATTGCGAATGCAGTTCGCGCTAACAAAACAGAATCCTTTCTCTCTCAACGACCCTTCTATCACTATGATGAGTCCACGTCTGTCGGGCTCGATCGACTGGTGCTCAACAGCCTGGTAGATTGCACAGGAGATAACACTCTTTTCACTCTTTCCTCATTTGACCTTTCCTCTGTGAAAATGGTCCTTTTAGACCGAAAGTAAAATCGTTCGCTGGCGACTAAATGAGTCCCTTCTTCGAGGGTGGTCAAATATTATTCAATGATCCAGAGTGCCATTCGACGGTCCAACGGATGCAGGCGAGTACAGTTGCGTGTTCAGTCCACTGCAGTTCAAATCCTCGACTATCGTGCTCCATAAACTCCATAGTTCAAAGCACGGCTAACCACAAGTCACCAGTCGTCCTTTATTCCGGCAATTATTTTTAATGGCCTTTTCTATAAATTCTAGTCAAATTCATCCTGAGCAATTACTAAGTTTCAATGACCTAGTTGATTCTAAACGGGGGGCAGGCATATTCTTTCGCTTTACCCGATATGAAACTGAAGAATTTTCGAACTGAATCGAATTGAGGGATCGCATATCTTTGCTGCATGTAATGGGTGCCCCGTAGGAGGCCATGTTTTCCATACGCAACGTGGAACTGCAATTTCACACGAAACAGTTTGCTTTCAAGTTGTTTGAATTTCCAGAATTTGTCACCTTTCCAATTAACTATCCAAGTAATTGGAGGTGCGAGGTTTGCACAACTCCAAATCAACGAGAACCTCATTCTACAGTTATTTACGTTTATGTTTAGATGTCAAGAGCATGCTTTTGATCGTCCACAGTTCAACGATGGATGCCATTTCTCGCGAGCTGCTAGGTCACCGACCTGAAGCGCTTAGTCGTTCACAAATGGAGCAAATGGGTTTCTATTATCCGTACTCAGCATTTGTCGCGTTCGAAGAGCAGAAGGAGGACAACACGTGGCATGTGATTGACGATGCGCTTCCTCCATTGACTTGCCGCAAATTCTCCAACTGTGTGGACAGGGCTTTTCTTGACCGCCCATGAAACAGTTAGCCTGGTCTTGACAGAAATCAGTTGCCGACTACGACTAAAATAGTGATTCGGCATCACTGGCCGAAAACGGAATTATTTCATTACTCGACTGCTGTACATATTAATATTCATTACAAACGCAGCCCCTAATTTATATTACTTCTTCATGCTTATGTCCCCTAACTGATGTGTCAGTAAAATTGTATTCGGTTGATGACTGCGGCCGGTTGTTTCGTTCTAGCTACGTCAGCAACTGTGGCGCATTTCAACAAAATCATATTCGCACCACTGTGGCTAATGCAAGCGATCAGCGACTCTCATACTAATCGTACAAGTCGAAGTAACATTTTAGAATCCGCATCATGGAAGAGAATTCTTGATCGTAGATGAAAAACGCCTGAAAACCGTACAAGCGATGGATGAGCGGTGTGAAGTAAGGAACTCGATGGCAGGGTTATGTAAACACACATGCAATCACTCTATTTTAATATACTGTGAGGTGTTCGCCTCAATATACATTTGCCATATATTTATTTAAAGCAAAAATTTAATGTTCAGTTTTATTCGGTGGAAGAGTTTGCAGAAACTCGACGGTATGGGAACGAAGCACTCGTCGATGCGATCGTTGGGGCCCCACTGGTCACTGGTCCTGAACCTATTCTATTCTTTCGTATCGTCATACGTTCTGCAAGTAAGGCGTAAGACCTGCCGGCGATGGAACTCTGTGTTCCTCTGGGTGAGACGGCCTTCCGGAATTTTGTTTGGTCGATGACTAGAGTTCGACACCAGTGATTAGCCCAGTGATACGCTTATCATGCTGATGATGAGAATGAGCGTTGGTGCGAGTCGCTCGGTATTTTCGATTGGGTTCATTTTGCTAATCAGCAGGACGGCATGCACTTTCCTTCAGGGAGGCAAAAATCACCTAACCGGTGATCATTGGCAACAGACAGCCAAACCTCGCTCGAAGATGGTACTTACAGTTTCAGCAGTCTCGGATGAGGTCACTTTTAGCGTGAGAGGAGAACTGGTTATGAACATAAAAGTGAACATGATCTGGTAGCTGGTAGATGTGTACACGAGATTTGCGTGCTGTAACGAGTGCATCGGTGTGGATATTTACCTGGCTCACTGTAAGCGTGAAATATCAGCATGAACCTTCAAAATTTGGACAGCCTATTGAGTTTCGTTAATTGTCGTATCAGTTCTTAACTGAGATAGCACTACTCCTCCAAGACCACGTTGCACAATCTATTAAACAGTTCCCCTGCTCTTAATTGCTCAGTGATAGGGGGCCACTGCTCAGAGGTATTTGAATATCAGCAGCGCCAGATGCAGTTCGCATCATTTTGTTTATTGCAGCCACATTGCACTCAATACGAGCGATGCGTTCGTATGCCAGAACGCAGACAGAGTCAAATCGTTTCCTTAACAGTAGCTGTCAGAGTATGCACAAGAACAATGAAACGGTTTATTACGCCATGTAAAGCAAAAATCTCTCATAACACAGAATCATGCACAAAGCTTTAAAGTGAACGTTTCGAACCGTATTTCAGTTGACGCTTCAGCAGAACCTGGGCAAAGCACTATGAATGGTTGGTGCCAACAGAAGGCTCACCCATCAGGATACGGGCCTGGTAAAGAAGGTCGGTGAAACACTGTTCACTGCATCCCGGCCGGTTCAAGTTTAACGTTCTGAATAGAAGTTCTGTTGAATAGCATCGTTTTTGTTTAGCGTGATGACTTGTTAGGAAAATCCATGACTACTTGAGTACGAAACAGTTTTTGACTATCGGAGCGAAACTTTGCCTCCTTCTGGTCCGCATCGGTGCTTGGTTTTTTCCTCCATGAAAAAGAGGACACTAATTGGTTCGTCGTGAGTTATTAACCTCTTTACAAATGCCTAGTGGGTGATCGGTGCCGGTTGCAGTCTGAAACGCGAGCAGTTGGCGGAAATCAAGTCAGACTCGGCTGAGCAGCGGCACAGATCGAGGGAGGACCGGAGATCTGGAGAGAAAACGAAAACGTGGCCGGAATGTCGCACGTCGCTTGTCGAAGATTTATTGAGTCGGTCCGGATGATCTCAGAGGAGTCCACAAACGTTTCAAGTATTGATTATTAATTTGCACGCTTTATTTGCCGACTTGGAACTGCGTCGTTCGAAGCGTTTCTTGTTTAGGCCATATAGCAGTGGTTCTGCATCGCTCTTCGTCGTTTTGTTCGCCGAGCCGCATCCCGAGCACAAGTTGTGATCAGGTTTTAAACGGGCTCCGTCACGTGCGCTGTTCGCACATGAACCGGATCGACGAAACAGGTACGATAGTCTAATCAGGTGCATCCAGCGCAGCTCACAGTAATCTACAGTAGTCCCAATATTACGTTTCTAACGCCTGTTACTTCACAAGTATTTCATTCAGCGAATCACTGCTGCTTAATTCGAAATGCAGCGACAATGACAAGCATTTCAGTAATTAAATTACTGTATATCTAGTGTCGAAAACGTGCTCATTTCGCCATGAGCATATTACATGTTACGGTAATCAGATGCCTGCTGTCGATTCGTTCGTTACTCAGTTTCAGTGGAGTATAAATAGCATAAGCGTAGGACCTCATAGAAAGAACCATTTCCTATTTCAGTGATTGCTGCTGCTTTTTCATCTTCACCTAATGCCAGCAGAGTCTAGACGGCGCAGTAACGCGGAATTATGAATCGAACTAGAAGTTTGAATTCATATTAGGCAACACTCCTTGCTGTGACGAAGCTAGTTGCATTTGTTCTGAAAGAGGGGGCAGCCATCTGTTGTTTTAAGAGAAAGTTCGCTTTAAACAGTAATATATTAGGTCAGCATATGAGGAAATTAATGAATAGATACTTTCTAACACTGACACGAACAAGTTGCCATGGACGAATGAAACCCGTTATTTCTACCTCTTGGAAATCAGCACTTTGACGGGGGGGGGTCATAACTTTAAATTTTTATGGCATCACTCTAGTATGAACTCTAGAAAACTTTTCTGGATTATTTTAGAAATGTTTAGGCATGTAAATGGTAGCACGGTTCGACCAAGTCTAGCAGCTCTCCGGATTTGTTCCTTGTCTTGGTACCAGTTCCCTTGACTTAAGGCTCCAGTGGATCAAATACACATCATTTTCAGATGTGGAAAATCTTCAAGTGCAACCGGACGGTACATCGCTTACATTTTTCAAGAGATGCTTGCAGGGACCATATCTGCTGTAAAACACGAAGGAAGGGTGTCTGAGTTCTTCCTTGTTAGCGGTTGAGTTTTTCACGGCGACCTGTTGTTGCCTTTGCTGTTCCACATTGTTTCGACTTT